AGATCATTGATAAAGATATTGAGCAAGACCGAGCCCTGGGGTACACAGCTTGTGACTGGCCGCCAGCCATATTTAACACCGTTCACCACAACTCTCTGGGCTCGGCCATCCAGCCAGTTCCTCACCCAGTGAAGAGTAAACCCATCCAAGCCATGAGCTGCCAGTTTCTCCAGCAGAATGCTGTGGGAGATGCTGTCAAAGGCTCCTCTAAAGTCCAGGTAGACAACATCCACAGCCTTTCCCTCATCCACTAGGCGGGTCACCTGGTCATAGAAGGAGATCAGGTTAGTCAAGCAGGACCTGCCTTTCATGAACCCATGCTGGCTGGTGCTCTGTTCCTGATTCAGCCTATGTAGGTGTTTCTTAGGACTTGATCAGACTCTTCTCATTAGCCAAAATGTGCTCTGGATCAGATCTTTCCACCCTCTGCTTTAGGCCATAAGCTCATGCATGGGATAATGTGTGACACATCACACTGTCCTCGTCCTGTAAAGGTGGGAGCAGTGAGTCCCTGAAAGTTAGGTATGTATGCTCTTCCCAAATGGGCATGTTTCACAGCCCAGCCTGTGATCCCACACTTGCAGTCACACAGCTCTGCAGGGCTGTGGGCAGCAGCCGGGGCTCGGTGTGCACGAGGCTGATGTAGGAAGTCCACCTCTCCATTCCTGTGACTGCGATTTTGCTCATATGACCTTTGAAGTAGGGTTGTTCCAGTGTAGAGTACTTTGGAATATGATGACAGGCCCCTAGGAAAGAGAAATCTTGTTTATGACACAGCATACAAATGGGAACTGACTCAACTCATGTTTCATGGTATAGTAACACAAACAGCAATGTGAATACTTTTTGGAACTATATGGTCTTTTTTTTTTTCCTTCTCTAATATATGGATGTTCTTTTCCCACTCAGGACTCCTGCCACTTATTGCTAAACTCACAACCCGCCATTATAATAAAGCACTGTGGTCTTTCAGTTGTTGCATGCAAATAATTACGGTGGTTAATTAATCCTGACCTCTCTTTAAGGAGTTGTCACTTCACAGCCATGACTTGGAGTAGGGTTGTCTGTGCTAGGTCACTAACAACTGTGTCTGTTGCTCTTTGCAGCTGCCTGGCTGGTCTGCAGTATCCCAGCCCACACTGGAGTATTAATTACTGCTAAACTTGGCATGCTTCAAAGGATTCATAACTGATCGGTCCTGGGATATTTGTTCTTTCTCTTGCCTTGGTGATACTGGTTTGGCCCAACCTCTAAATACACTCTCTGTTGTGATTTTAATTTTTTTTTTAATCCTAAAAGATGTATGTTTGTGTCTTTCTTGTTCTCTGTTTATTTTTTTCTCTTTTCACTCAAACATGCTCCCTCCCCCCAGCCTGTTTCGCTGCTTGAGAAAGCCGCGCCTCAGTGGTGTCAAGGGAAGCTACAAGCTCACCTCGTTGCACAAACTAATCTGCTCCGAAATCAGGTGACTGCTGATCTACCTGGCTCTAACCGTGCATGCGCTATTTTGGGCTCTAGATTGTACCATGCAACTAATCTCTAGGCAACGTTCACTCTAGTCCCCTCTGATTAAGTGTGTCCTTGATATTCCTGAGCCACAGTGGACACGTGGAAGTTGCTGACCAATGAATGAATTTGTGCCTGCCCTATTGATTTCTAATCAGGTGTTTTAATACTGGACTATTGTTTTCTCCTCCTTAAATGAAATGTCAATGAAGAAAGTCTATGGAATAATGCCAAGGCAGAGAATGATGTAGTCTAGTTCCTTCTATTATTCCTTTCTTTTTCTTTTAAAAGAAGCAGTCAATTTTTATTGCTGCTGTTTCAAAAAAAAAAAAAAAAATTGGAAAAATTGGCTTCTGCATTTCTGTTGTTGAGTAAAGCCAGAAAAAAACCCACCTTGCTTCAAAAGCAATTTCTATGGCTGCTGAGTTAAGTTCTAACACTATCGTGTGGTAAAACCCAAGTTTCCAAAATGGGCGCTGTCCTGGCCCTTGTGGTCTAAATGAACTGTTTCCAGGTGTACAGAGGTTCAGTCTGCATAGCAGAAGACGTGGGCCCAGGCCAGGGAATTTGTGCCCCATGTAATATATTTGAACAGCTCCGGGTTGAGGTCATGGTTGCATCATGAGGCAGAACTTGGCCAAACATTTTAGTTGTAGCATCTTGAGGGACATGAGAGCAGCTCAGAGAAACTGCAGGGACTAAGAATTTCAATCCTGCTTGCATGGAAGTGTGGCTTCGTGATGAAATCTCCCTTGATATTTATCTTGGAGCTCCTTAAGGGATAAGAGGGAGCTGACAGAAAACGGTCAGTGAGAACAAAATGCTTTCAATGGGCAAGGCATAGTAAATCATTACCGAGCCTGGGAGAGTGCCAGTTACCTGCTCACAAGTTCCTGGTGAGCTCATCTGTTCTCATTCAGATGCTCCTATGTTTTCACATTCCTTGTCAGTGAATGAATTACAGTTCAGAAACACTAAATTGTTCTTACCTTATAAAGCACCTGGGTTTTCACAGTCAGTTTATGACTGCAGATCAGGGAAAAAGACTAGATTACCACATCAATAAAGCCTGGGGAAAGAACAGCTGTTAGCAGTCCTGCTTAAGATGCATAGCAAAGGGAAGAAACATGTATTCATTCTTGATGGAAGGGAAAAGGACAATTTGGCAGGCTTCCAGGGGCTTTTCCTGTGCCTCTGCCATGCTGGGAACAATCTGCGTGGTTGTGGTTCTTGACTGGTCTGTTTGGCTGGTGGTGTTTCTGGAGGACTAGAAAGCAGGTACGGGAAGTTTCTCAAGCCACACAAAAATAAATCAGCTCTTGGGCATTTTTCCTCTTCTCAGGCTGGCTGGGAGTAATACCACCACCCACAGATTGCCTAGAACAACAGCACGTTTGGTTCTCCCTCATCCATTGCGCTCTGATCTTAGACAGGCTACTGAGAGTCCGATAATTTCACTGTACTGGGTGACTTTGCCCTAAAGCAGGTGACAAGGGGGTATGCAATCTTTCCACCACTGTGTTGTGGGGGTGCAAGCAGGGTGTGTCGCTCCTAAGTGACATTAATATTTTCAGTCACCCCAGATATTTTCAAATCAACTTAAGTCCTCCTTTAAGTTTTCCTCATAAATTCATGAACTAAATAATACTATTGCCAACCTTAACTTGCTGTTTCTACTTGTGTGAGTCTTTGGTGTTTTGTTTGGTTTGGGGTTTTTTTGTTTGTTTGGGGTTTTTTTAATTTTTATTTTGATTTGGGACCAACACAAAATCTCAGTGAAGAAGATTGTGTTCTTGAACCTGTAGGTTTTCCTGCAGATTTTCTGCATAAACATGAGCAGGCAGGGAAAAAAAAAAAAGACTTCAGCTTTTATATTTGCATGACTTGGAGACTGAAGGTGTTACTGACAATCCTAAGTCTCATTAAGCTCTTGACAAAAGCAGAAAGGCTGATGACACTGCATTTATTGAAGAGCTTAAGAATGTTAAGCCTAAAAGAAAAACGTCCTTCCCCTTACCAGCAGCTGTGTTGCTGTCTCTTCTTGCCTCATAATTTTACAACCTCCAAGCAAAAATGGGGTCAGCAAGACCTATTATTTCTACTGTAAAACCAAGTCCCTTCCCTCCAGTGTGGAAACTGCTGTCTTTTTAGGCCTTTAGCAGATACTAACAGAAACAATACAGTGGGGCTTGTCTGTAAAGTCTCTGGGGAGGTTGCTATTGCATGTTCTCAGTTACAAATTTTGGTGACGGTGCTTTTTGAAACAAAAGGGAAAATGACTTAGAACAGCAAATTCTTGCCCTTTTGCTAAGCTCCCCTGAAATGCTGAATGCAGACTAAAAAGCACCATCCTTGGTGCTGGAAGTGGTAACAGAATGATACCTCTGTAGGAGAAAGCCAGAAAGTTGAGTCCTGGGCTGTGCTGCCCTTATGAGAGGCAGGTCTGGAGGGAGCCTGGTGGAGGCTTGGGTCTGGGGTGAGGTGCCTAGCTCTCCTCTCTACCCCTGCCGCATGGAGGTCTAAACTATTTACTGTGCAGTGTGTAATTAGCACAGTTCACAGCATAGTGTTTGAAGAGAAATGGTCACCAAATTGCCTGAAAGCACCAGGCTGGATTTTGCCAGGCACTCATGAGTGCTAGCTTGCATAATGGTAGGAAACATAATGGGGAGTAACCACCCCACTGTCTCAGCTGAACTGGTTGTGCTTGGCACTCTGAGCCTTGGGTGGGGGAAGGTCAGGAAAGCATTTGTGTTGTCCAGCTCCTGCTCAAACCTTTTCCCCCTTTCAGGCAGGGAGAGGAGAAGAAGAATTTTCTGAGATCACATTTTGTGGACCAAGGCATTATGTCCTTCTGCCTCGGTTCTCTGTCAGGTTGGCAAGGATGACAGCTGAAATAGAAATTGCACAGATACGGTAGCAATGGGCTCTGCCGCTGAAACCTATGCCTTTCCTCCTGTCCCCACCGTACTGCGTGAGCTGGCTTTTCTTCCAGCAGGGTGTCATGGTTTAGCCCCAGCCGGCAACTAAGCACCACGCAGCCGCTTGCTCACTCTGCCCCCCCCAGTGGGATGGGGGAGAGAATTGGGAAAAAAACCTTGTGGGTTGAGATAAAAACAGTTTAATAGGACAGCAAGAAACAACAATGATAACAACAATAATAATACCGACAAAGGAATGTACAAGAACAAGTGACGCCCAATACAGCAATTGCTCACCACCTGGCGATCGACAGCCCATCCCCAAGCAGCGATTCCTGCCCCCCGGCCAACTCCCGTTTATGTACTGGGCATGACGTCGTATGGTAGGGAATATCCCTTTGGCCAGCCTGGGTCAGCTGTCCTGGCCGTGTCCCCTCCCAGCTTCCCGGGCACCCCCCAGCCTTCTTGCTGGCAGGCCAGCATGAGAAGCTGGACCAGCACAAGTCCTTGACTCAAAACATCAGCACGTTATCAGCATTTTCTCATCCCAAATCCAAAACATAGCCTCACGCTAGCTTCTGTGAAGAAAACCAACTCTGCCCCGGCTGAAACCAGGACACACGGCTCATGCCCAAGCTGATGTCCATCTTCAGCTCCAGCTGGAAGCAGTCATGGCTATCCAGTGTCAGGACTCCTGCTTCCAAACAAAATAAGTGAGAAAAAAATGGTGAGAAGAATCCTGGGCTGACAAAGGAGTGAAGAATTAATTCAATGTTATACCTAGGACTGAGAGCACTAGCTGACCCACAGGCACTAGATGGATCCCTGATTCCTACAGCTACTCTAGAGTGAACGTTGCCTGTTGCTGATTTTGCCTTTGCCTCAGGATGTCACAATATTCACATGTTGCTTTCTAGGTTCTTTGACCTTCTGAACAGGTAAACAAGAGAGGGAAAGACTGTTATTAATATTCACTGTATCTGAAAAACTAACAGCATTCAATGGTGCCTCATCTCCTGGGTTGATTCTGGTTCCAGTGTAGCTTGGAAATTAGGGTAATATAAAGACAAAGACTGGACTGGGATTTTTGGGGTTTTTTCTCCCTCTAGAATGGTTACATTAGAAACATTCATTTGTAGAGGGATTTTTAAGGCAGAATGAGTTTTTGTGGTCATTGTCTCTGATCCAGCATAAACTGTGTCTCTGTTTAAATGGTCTCTTTGTTTGGTGCGAACTCTCTCAATGTTGGGTTTTTCAGTGGGCGTAGCAGCCAAATACGGGGGTTTCTGGGTGGAAGCATCATGGCACCTTCTCCCCCTGCCTGTTCCTCACAAGGTCTGCTTAACTTTTGAGTACCTCCCGGTTGTGTCTCTCTCTGGGGGAACCTTTGTCTTCTGATCTTGAGTACAAAGTCTTAACCTTGCCTTTGGGAGCAATGAGCAACTCTCTGAAAGGTGGAGCTGGCTGGAAGTAGGAGCTTCTGTGGCTTGCTCAATAAGGCAGGAGAGAAATGGAGAATGTAAGGATCTTAAACAACACTGTGAGGAACAGGGTTCTGAACTGCATATTTTTAAGTCCTTTCTCCCATCAATCCTATCTTTGCATATACATGTCACTAAGGAGCAGTAAGCTGGATTTCTTTAATTAAGCTGGCACAAAGAAGATAAACTTCATTTTGTAGACGGGGTTGGGATCTGACTGCAGGCTCATAGAGAGATCCAGTTCCCCAGTGACTTGCGGGCTCTTTGCAGAGCCCTGTGGCGTTCTGACATTTCTGCT